GGAAATAATATAACATGCGTGGGGCCGCGGTAGCATAGTTCGTTGAGGCACTAAGCTACAAGCCGGACGGTCGAAAGTTCAATTCCCGATGAGGTCATTAGATGTTTCAATTCACCTAATCTTACCAGCAGCACTATGGTCCTGGGGTCCACTCAGCCCCTAACAGAAATATGTACCAAGGCCGCGCCATAGCTCAAGCGGTTAGTCGCTGGCTTCCCACCGCGGCGGCCCGGGTTCGATCCCGAGTCTGGTCAAGTGGGATTTGTGGTAGACAAAGTGGCGCTGGGGCGGGTTTTCTCTGAGTACTTCGGTTTCCTTGCCAATCTTCATTCCACCAAATTCTCCATCATCATAATCACCCGGGGCAGGTACAATAGGTCAATCAGTGGCCGCCGTGCCAAGTAGACCCAGCTGGACTCCACTCCCCACTAAGGGAATCTTCCTGTTGGTAAAGGGCGGCCAGCTCGTAAAGCTGGAAACCTCACCGCCATCTGTGAGCCTATTGTCTAGAAAATGTTGGAGCTTCGACGTCCCACAACCCCATGAGCTTCCAAGGCCTGTTACAGGGATAGCTTTTTATATAACAAAGAGACCATGAACATATTTGCAACTAATAAAGGTTAAACAAGTGAAGTAATTGTTGTGTCAGGTAACAAGGAACTTCTTTAGTTCTAGTCCATTTAGCTCTGTTAGAGCAGCGTAACAGTCTGGACGTACAGGTTGAACGGGAAACAAGAAATGAATGCAGACTCCCTCGGGGCTGACATGTTGGAATGCGGTCTCTTGAGATCTGGTACTGCCTCGACAGGCCAATACAATGGTGGTCTTTGACATCAGCGGTGTTGAAACTTCGAATTCTACTGACAGTTGGTTTGTGTGTGCCTGCACCTGTATCGCGGAAAACATTCCTGTTTTCTGTTCGAAAGTTCCCAAATTAGGACATTGCTCCTGAGATCGTGAGTTTCCTCATGTGCTCTGAGCAAATGTTGCAGTGCCAATCACAGTGGGCGCGCCGTCTAAGGCAGTGTTTCTCAGTCTTTTTAAACCTAAGGACCAGAAAATATCTTAAATAATTCTACGGATCACTAAGTTATGTAGGCCTACTTTTTTAAACCTATGAGGTATTACCAACGGTTAGGACATACTGTACTAGTTATAACAGAATAAATCTAAAAGCATGTTTGAATATATATGGAAACTTAATTAATTAAATTGGAAGTAAACTATTAAAAGTAAATCATTATTGAAAAAACTTTTAATCTTTATTAAACAAATAAAAACTGTGATATAATTATGCTACTATTTACTTTTAATGAGACTGTTGAGCTTGTCGGCCCTTACAGATTTCCTGGATATCTGGCTTAATATTAGTCAGCTTCGGTCGAAGATCAGCACTCACACTAAGACGATTTCTGCGGTTGGATTTTAGTTGAAGGAGCGATGAAAATCCTTTCTCACAAAGATAGGTCAAAACTGCATGACGATTTTCAATGCATCTGTTAATTAATTCGGGAAATTTACTTCCCACTGAAGGCGAGAGCCAGAATCTGACAAAACCAAGATCACGGAATTGCATTTTAAGCCAATTGTCACTTGAAAGCTCAATTAACTGTACTTTCCTCGACAACGAAAGGTCGTTCTCGTGATTTTAAGCCTGAAGAGGATCTCGAACCCACAGAAATTTCTCATAAAAGTTATTAGAAAAATATGTTTCAAATTTCTGTTTCACAGAATTGAGGTGATCACAAACCCTTTCAAGAAACTCAGAATCAACAGAAATTTCATTTTCCACTAAAAAGGTTTCCAATGTTGGAAAAGGTGCAAATTGTCTGTCTTTTACAAAACTAATCCATAACACCAGTTTTTTTCTCGAATGCCTTTATTTTGTCGTAGACATCAGGAACAGTTAAATAATTTCCCTGAAGGGAGAGATGTAGTTCATTTAATTCAGCAGAAATGTCTGAAATAATAATAATAACCATACTTCGTCAACAACAAGTGGTGCAAAATCAGGATTACGTTCATTTACAAACAATAGAATTGCCTTAATTGAGATAACCTTGCTAGTACTTTGCCCCTGGAAAGACAGCGAATTTCAGAATGAAGCAAAAGGTGTGTATATTCACTGCCCATTTCATCGCAGAGTGCTGAAAATACTCTGTCATTTAACGGTCGAAACTTAATAAAAATAACTAGATTTACAGTGTTGTATGTAACAGTTCTAAATTCTAGTGGCATTCCATTGGAGTCCAAAGCTTCCCTATGTATGAAACCAAGTACCCAATTCATATCCGGAGCTAATTTCTTGGCCTTAGAAACAACCCCACTAAGCCTGCCTGTAAGGGCTCGAGCTCCATATGAACAGAAGCCCACATATTATTTCCAGAAACAACCCCACTATGCCTGCCTGTAAGGGCTCGAGCTCCATCCTAACAGAAGCCCACATATTCTTCCCAGAAACAGACTCACTAAGCCTGCCTGTAAGGGCTCGAGCTCCATATGAACAGAAGCCCACATATTATTTCCAGAAACAACCCCACTATGCCTGCCTGTAAGGGCTCGAGCTCCATCCTAACAGAAGCCCACATATTCTTCCCAGAAACAGACTCACTAAGCCTGCCTGTAAGGGCTCGAGCTCCATATGAACAGAAGCCCACATATTATTTCCAGAAACAACCCCACTATGCCTGCCTGTAAGGGCGCGAGCTCCATCCGAACAGAAGCTCACACATTTTTCCCAGAAAAAGTCCCATTATGCCTGCCTGTAAGGGCGCGAGCTCCATCCTAACAGAAGCCCACACATTTTTTCCAGAAATAGCCTCATTATGTCTGCCTGTAAGGGCGCGAGCTCCATCCGAAAAGAAGCCCACACATTTTTTCCAGAAACAGCCCCAATATGCCTGCCTGTAAGGGCGCGAGCTCCATCCTAACAGAAGCCCACACATTTCTCCCAGAAACAGCCCCAATATGCCTTTCTGTAAGGGCGCGAGCTCCATCTCAACAGAAGCCCACACATATTTTCCAGAAACAGCCCCACTAAGCCTGCCTGTAAGGGCGCGAGCTCCATCCTAGCAGAAGCCCACATATTTCTCCCAGAAACAACCCCACTAAGCCTGCCTGTAAGGGCGCGAGCTCCATCCTAATAGAAGTCCACACATTTTTCCCAGAAACAGCCCCACTATGCCTGCCTGTAAGGGCGCGAGCTCCATCCTAACAGAAGCCCACATATTTCTCCCAGAAACAACCCCACTAAGCCTACCTGTAAGGGCGCGAGCTCCATCCGAACAGAAGCTCACAGAGAATCTCAGTTAATCGGAAGGCCTTTCTTAACCCTTTCCATTAACTGAGATTCTACGTATCCTGCCATCTCGTTAATTCTGCGACCGACAGTGTCGTTTTTAAGAGGAATCAGTTCAACCTCTTTTAGTTAGTTGTTGCGAAACACAGTTTTTACCACGTATTTTGTAGCTTGAATAAGTAAATTTTCCCCGATAGATGGAGGTTCCCCTGTTTTGGCTATGCGCAAGTTTAAGAGGTAGGATGTTTCCAGTGCCTTGCTATTAATCGAAACTATGACCGAAACTATATTTTGCCCATGATTTAATGTCCCTAACCGTCGCTGAAGAAATTTAATAGGCTTATTTTTCACATCACAATATTTAGTTTCTGTCATCGAAGTTTCGCAGGTTTCATGCACTCGTTCGGCAGCACTTCATAACACAAAACACACTGAGGTCTCCGTTCACTTTCATCACCACACCAAGTAGACCCTAATTCCAAATATGTACTGTCATATTTCCTGCTGTATTTTTTCTTTGAACTGCTTGCTTCTTCGACTTTAATAATCACACTTACTCGCCATTACAACACGTGTATCACAATTACGGTTAGCATCACCTCTTTCGTTTGATTTTCTTTTTGAAATCCCTTTTCTAGACCACTTTTCCATTATCACAAATGTTTCCGAAAATATACAAAAATTGGTGTTAACTCACGACACACTTTGTCCAACTATCACTTAGCACTTATGAAGATATACTGAGCGTTCGTTGACGGAGGAAAACTTTCAGTAATGAATAACAATACACAACAAGCAATTGGTTGAAATGTGGATAACACATGTTTACTTCAAATCTTAACAAAACAGCAAGGGAAGGCGGGATCAATAAACCCTTAATGTTCTTCACTGCAACCCTCTTTAATTGTCTGTCTTTCCGAAGCTACCAACTATCGGCGCGGTCCCTCCTCTGGAGTTAGTGACAATGCAGTCACACCCTCATGCCCTGGAAATACCGGATTTTTGTGTGGCCTTTGAAATGTTCGTGGAATTTAGAAAGCTTGGTCATTTTAGTATCCATTTTATTTCAACAAAGTTTACTTGCCTCATTAATTTTAATTTGTTTTGTTTTGATAATTTTTAATTTAATTTAATTTAAGTCTGCTTGCGGACCACCTCTCTCATCATCGCGGACTACAGGTTGAGAAACGCTGGTCTTCCCTCGCTCGAATGCTGCATCAGGGGTTCGAATCCCACACAAGGCATGGGTGTCTGTGTGTGCGTTTATTCTGTGTTTGTGTTGTTCTGTGTGTAGGTAGCGGCCTTGCGACGGGCTGATCCCCGTCCAAGGAGTGTATAGAATCAAGTAACTGAACAAGGAGCCAAGGCCTAAGAAGGGGCTTTAAATCCGTAATAATAATAATAATAATAATAATAATAATGTTGTAGTATCCTTTCCCATCCACAATTATATTTCCATTCGAAGCTACACTACTTAAACAGAAGACAAAGCTCCTTAATCAAACAACAAAACAGTTTTGGATTATAAGGCAAGATTATGCTGTATAACGCGAACACATTTGTACAGGGCCTTGCTGTATTTTGCCCATCCAGCTACAAGTTAATAATTGAAGTTACTGCTATATGCATGCATAAATAGAATGACGCATGCGCAAACCGATACTTCACGTTACAACAACATTGTGTCGCGTCGGTTACGTGTGTTCCGATCAGTGCCAGTGTGGTTTTGGCAGGAGAGGTAGTGGTAGGTTTGTTTTCAAGCTGCGCACGCTTGCGACTATCGACTGCAAGAAATGGCTGCCGACAATCTCACCGCAGTGCTGTATAAAGTGAATGACTTAAGGCTCGTAAGTGATTCTGTTTAAGTTTACTAAATTGTGACACGACCGTAAACGTTTCATGGCTGTCACCGCTGTACAGCTTTGTCAAACGTTGAATCAAGGTGTATCAGTACATGAATTACATCACTAACATATGACTTCTATTAACTTGCTGACTGCTGCAAAACATACGTCAAAAGTACGTACGACATACATCCATTACTAAAGATATAAATAAAACAAAAATTATTGTGAAGAAACCCGTCTTCTGTGATGTGGCGCCGTGTAGATGTTGTGTTAGCAGACGTTTCGGAGAAACGTATCGCCTCCATCTTCAGGGTAGAAGAAAAAAGAAAATCATCCGCGAGCGAGGAACCAGCTTGATCAGGTGCTGATGGACTAATTTTCTCCTTTTCTTCCACCCTGAAGATTAAGGCGATACATTCCTCCGAAACGTCGGTTAACACAATATCTACACGGCTCCACATCACAGAAGACGGCTTTCTTCATAGTCACCGCGGTGGAAACCTGAAATCGTGCCAAAATTATTTTAATATAATTATTTAGTCCTTAAATTATTTTTAAATCCTTAAAATATTTTTTCATATATTAATTGTATGTTTTAGTTACTTGAAACAAGATATTATATGTGTTTAATATAGCGGAGGAATTTTGTCACCTATCGTCTATGTACTATACATATAATAAGAGACAGTTTGTGACGAGGCATACGGTTACCTCGTAATCTCACACGGCAGCAATTTTCATGTACTTGTTTTTTTTTATTGCTAGTGGGGTGGGACTAAGTCCCTTGTACTGCGGCCACTTCTGGCTTATTGTACCAGCCCCGGATGATAGGTGAGGGTGATTGTGGAGCAATTGGTGGAATGAAGATTGGCAGGGGAAACCGAAGTACTCGGAGAAAACCTGCCCCAGCGCCACTTTGTCCTCCACAAATCCCACTTGACCAGATCCGTGATCGAACCCGGGCCGTCGCGGTGGGAAGCCAGCGACTAATTGCTTGAGCTAAGGCGCGGCCCTCATGTACTTACATAAGTGACAAATCTATGTGTTTGAAACTCAGCTATCAAAAGGATGATGATGTACGCAGTTCACGGAGGAAGGAAGGAGAAAGGTAATCGTAGGAAAGTATGTTAAGCATGAAGACGCGAAAGAAATGGTTTCCCCTTGAATGTCAGCAGATTTTTATAGTACTTATTCGGTATAACAAAATCGTCTTCTGGGAAAAACGCATTCGTTTTAAAATTATTGGAATTAAATTTTAACAGATCATTGTGACCAATGAAATTTCATTATCATCGACAATACAGCCATTTTTTGGCCATAGCCTTCTTTAGAAGATTCTGGCAGATTTTCATTCCTGGCTCGGTTCACCCTTCTTTTTTTTTCCGAGAGCTTTAACATAATGTACTCACCATCCTCCCATTTCAGTTCGGGGCTTCCCAGAGAATTTTCAAAATATAATAAAAATGTTTTCGATTCGTTTCAGCGCTTCCGCTTGTTTTGTGCAATAGGCAATCATAAATACCTATTATAAGAACATTTTTCATTGTCATTTGTGTTTTCAAAATGTTGTATCCGATTATCTACAAATGTAAGTTCTGTTAATACTTATGTGATGTCTAGGCCGCGCCATAGCTCAAGCGGTTAGTCGCTGGCTTCCCACCTCGGCCGCCCGGGTTCGATCTCGGGTCTGGTCAAGTGGGATTTGTGGTGGACAAAGTGGCGCTTGGGCGGGTTTTTTCCGAGTACTTCGGTTTCCCCTGCCAGTCTTCATTCCACCAAATTCTCCATCGTGATAATCACCCGGGGCAGGCCACAATAGGCCAATCAGTGGCCACCGTGCCGAGTGGTCCCAGTTGGACTCCACCCCCACTAAGCGAATTGAAAAAAAAAATTATGTGATGTGTATTAGGTCTACCATATTGTATTTTGCTACTGCTTGCTTTTCATAGTGCACGTTGGGTAACTGGCACTTTCATTCTCTTTTTCCTAAGAATTTATCATTCATCCAATATCAACGACCCAAAAGTTTACTGAAGGAAGAGCCTAGCAGAAGCAATTGGAGAAAAAGAAAATCTTTCTGAGTTTCTGAAACTCATCGAATTAATACAGGTCTGCTATCTCTGGCATGGCCAGAATGAAACCGATGTACGAGTACACGAAAACTTATGGTCCAATATCCTTTTTTTTTTCTCAATCATATCATCATGAAAATCAGCCTACTTGCCTTCAGGATTACTCATATATTCAACGGTTAAAATAGTGACGCAAAAGAACCTGCTGACTCAATTACTTTTCGAAATTTCATGTAATTTATTTTTATTCTTTCTAGCGCATTAACTTCCTGCAGAAAAAAAAATGGATGCATTCTTTTATCTCTCATTGTGTTTTGCAGGAACAGCGACCAATTCCCGAACCAGATGATGACCGTAAGTTCTGACACAAAGCAATCATTATTTAGTTCATTTCTAGGCTGTATGGGTAGACGAAAATTAAACTAACCTCAATACGGTACTGTTGTATCGTCAGCACGTCTTGCACATTTGTAATCGTTTCATGCATTCTGAGCAAAAGCGCCGTCTCCCTTTTTGTTTGCCTGTAAAATCAAATCTACCCAACTATAATCCATTTTTTTCCCTTGGCACTACAGCCCCAGTGGGCCTAGGCGTACCTCCATGAACTTCTCCGTTCACTTCGGTTTTTCTAGATCTTACACATTCGGTAGGACTCCTGGGGCGGGTGATCAGCTCGTCGCAAGGCCTCTACCTGTACACAGACACAGAAAAACGGATACACACAAACTAAACAAAACATCCATGCCCTAAGTGGGATTCGAACCCACGATCCCGGTTTCCAAGCGAGCGAAGACAGTACATGCCTTAGACCGCTCGGCTACCATGACCAGCCTATAATCCATTAGAGACTAGAATTTCTCATTAGAACCTTACTACTGGTCACGTTAGAAAAATCGAAGTTTTCTCACACCAAATTTGTTACCTTTGCCTGCAGGGATCAGATTAATGGTACGTTATAGACAAACAGAACTGGTTTTGCCGGATGAAAGAGAACAAGACCATCTTAATGTTCTACTTATGATAAATAATATATGGTTGCGAGGAATGTATTCATCTGGTTTGGTGTAGTGTCCAGTGAACTTGGGGGTCCCATAAGGGCGAGAAGTTTCTAGACTATCTGAGAGACAAACAGCCTCTAAGGATAACTGCTTATTGGGCTTAGATGGACCGATATTTCATTAGAGATATAGGGCTGGATGTTATCTTCGTAATAGCAGATATATGTCGACACTTTTATGTGTCGATGGAAACATGGACAGATTTACTGAACGACGTAATCTGGATTTGTACGAGTATATATATCGTGATAAAAAAAGGTAATCTTGTGTAAATACGTACTTGAAACCTTGAACAACTCATTTGCTTCTAAAGTGTACGCGTATTTCCTTCCGATGAAGACTTTTATTTGTGTGAAGATGACTATTGTGATATCGTTCGCAAAAAGACGCACTCTTTCTTGATAAAAAAGGTAGGAGACAAATAGGGAACGTTTAGAAAATCATTAAACCAGAGACCCCAAGTTGTCCAAGGGCCGCTGATCGGAAATTCTTTTGTTACATAATGCTTCAAAATTAGACGTAAATTGTAAAATAATGTAACTATTGAGGGAACACATTTCATGAGAATTCGTCATTGTCCATATAATGCTTGCAATTTCAAAACTGTGACGGTGTTGTTAAGAATCTGCTGTAAACTATTAGGCATAACTGTTATAATTATTGTTGGGCCGCTTTTTCAATTTCTTGCTCCTGTGCACAGTCGGTAGGACTCCGTGGACGGGGAATCAGTCCGTCGCAAGTCCTCGACGGCCTCGACCTTCACGCAGAACACGAACACCGAATAAACTCACAAAATATACATGCATATTCATGCCTTAGACCGCGCGGCCAATGTGACCGGTAGGCATTGCAGTTAAGGAACCATTTTCAGTGCTGTAAGCTTCGAATGTGGAAACATTAAATCTGCTCAGTTAAACTACAACAACACCGGACGAACAGATTGTAAATCAGTAACATCTGTTGTCTGGGAAATGTTCAGAGTCTTGTTTTCATGTTTGTACTAACATAGGAAATGTCCATTTTTAGATTAACATAGTACATTTTCATTCTTCTGCCAGCAATATAAAATTGCATTGTTTCATACATACATTAAATGTTCTTTCTTGCATTCACATGGAAAATTTGCATTCATGTACTTAGTACACGGTGATTGGCCGCGCCATAGCTCAAGCGATTAGTCACTGGCTTCCCACCGCGTCAGCCCGGGTTCGATCCCGGGTCTGATCAAGTGGGATTTGTGGTGGACAAAGTGGCGCTGGGGCAGGTTTTCTCCGAGTACTTCGGTTCTCCTGCCAATATTCATTCCACCAATTGCTCCACAATCACCCTCACCTATCATCTGGGGCTGGTACAATAGACCAATTAGTGGCCGCCGTGCCGAGTGGACCCAGCTGGGGTCCACCCCCCATTAGTACATGGTGAACCTGTATAGTAATTACTGGAATTTGTTGTTTGGTTCAGAGGTACTCCTGCAGATGGCATGTGTTGGAATATGCGGCTCTGATGTCCATTACCTTGTCGAGGGTCGAATTGGGGACTTTGTAGTCAATGAACCGATGATAATAGGTCATGAAGCAAGTGGCATTGTTGCAAAAGTTGGCAAGAATGTGAAGCATTTGAGGGAAGGTCTGTATAATTTTATTAAATTGATATAATTTAATTACGATGCATAAATTGTTGTTCCTCTTCTCTGTTGGTCACGGAAAATAACGTTATAGTTTCACACTCCTCTGTGCGCATGTGACCTACAGGCTAAGTACGTAAATTTTTACATCAGTTATAGTGAAAATTATACGCTTGTCTCCTGTCATGGAAAAGCGTTAAATAAATGCGGTTCCCTTCCAAATCAATGTGGATGACATGTGTTGGTGTAATACATTTTATTTATTATTTATTTAATCATTCTGTAATAAGCCTTCGCGATAAGTGTGGTAATTTGCAAGTTTTTTAGTATTTCTATGCTTTCCGGTCTCAGAAATAAAATCATAGCGGTTATGTTGCAAATGCTTGTTGGGCGACACACTCAAAATATATGAACTAATTGCGCAATTCCAACGGATACACTTTATTAGACATATTTTTATATAACTTATAGGCCTATTTGAGTCAGGAATTCCCTTTACTTTTATATTTATCATGAACAGATTCGCTGGAGGCACGCGGCAGCGTAGTTGGTTGAGGCACATGTTACAAGCAGGAAAGACGCAGAGTCGATCGCCGATGACGTCACTGGATTTTTCAGTTGACCTGCACTATTGCCCTGGGGTCGACTCAGCCTCTAACAGAAATGAGTACCAGGAATCTTCCTGGGGTAAAGAGTCTAGGGCAGCCAGCGCGTAAGACTGACAACTTCACCTCCACGTGTGAGTCGATTGTCTAGAATCGACTCACACGTGGAGGTGAAGTTGTCAGTCTTACGCGCTGGCTGCCCTAGACTCTAGATAATATGGGAGCCCCAAAGTCTCGTAACCCTCCACGGCCTGTTTCAGGGATAGCTTGGACTTTTGACCTTTTTACAGATTAGATAAGTATACTCGTATGTTGATTTAAAAATAAAGTCGAAGTAACATCCTAGACTTTGTCAACCGATGTGCCTCAGATTGTTGCTTCTTGGAACACGTCTTGTCAGGATACTGAATTACTTATACTTCTGACAGAATGTTGAAACACGCTGTAATAATATTTTATCGCGGATCGGAAAGAAGAACAGACGCACATACAAACTATGCTCTTGAAGGCAGCCTTTGGCTTGCTTATGGGCATGCACAATACGTAATGTAAATTCATTTGAAATTTTCGCCGTCTCTCCAACTGCAAAAGGCGGTATGTTTTGTTATGTATAGAATTTTGCTGACGGGCACGCTTAGTTGCAATGGGCCTGTATGCACCGCTTGACTTGGAACCCATTAACCGCTTGCAGGGGATCGTGTGGCCATTGAGCCCGGAGTACCTTGCCGAAAGTGCCGGTTCTGCAGGGAAGGCAGGTACAACCTGTGTGCGGACATGGTGTTCTGTGCCACCCCGCCAACGCACGGCAACTTGGCCCGCTACTATGTTCACGCTGCAGACTTCTGCTACAAGTGAGTGCGTGTTGTTTCTTAAGTATTGCTAATAAACCAAATTAACTGAGTGAAATCGTGATGTATTGTTGAGGAGGGAACAGAGAAAGAGAAGTCTTCTGATCTTCGAATGGCCGATCACTGGGGTCGTGGGTTCGAATCCTACTCAAGGCGTGGATGTCTATATGCGTTTATTCTGTGTTTCTGAGTAGGTAGCGGCCTTGCGACGGGCTCATCCCACGTCCAAAGAATCTACCGTTTTTCTAAGATTAAGAAACAGAAGTCAAAAAAGCTTTTCGTGGATGTTCTATGCTCCATGTGGAAGCAGCAGCAATAGATTTGTGGATGTGTTGGTAGGTAGAATCTTGGAATGACACAACATCCAGTGGAAACAAATTTAATAAATATTGTCACGTGTTGGTTGTATAACGCGACAAATAACTACACGCCGTATTTGATATAGCGAATTTTATCGCACATTCGCTCTTACAATCACACAATTCACAATCTCACAACTACTGCTATCTGCAGTATCGCAAATACTAGACTGCATACTCTTCCCTGGCCAACTCGTAACTAACTGTGAATAGTCAAAGTCACATTGCCACTGACGGTCAGTCAGTCAGTCAGTCAGTAAGTCTTGCTGTCGAGCCCCATTTGGGGCTCATGACCAGATATTAATTATTATCATTTGACAGTTACGGTCTTGTTTCTGTGGGGCGCCTTCTCTGACGAGAGGACGGGTCTGTCTTTTGTACATGCTGCTGGTTCTTGCCAGCGCAGTTTTTCTCGGGTCCGAGTCCCTTGGGACTCGCGACCATATTTTACTGTTTCAGATTCGAGACTTCCCTTTTCGTCGCTTCCTACGACTCGCAGGGTCACGGTGGAGGTATTGGAAGGTCATCAAGACAAAGTCAAAGTCACATTGCGACTGACGGTCAGTCAGTCAGTAAGTCTTGGTGTCGAGCCACATCTGGGGCTCATGACCAGATACTAATTATTCCCTTTTGACAGTTACGGTCTTGTTTCTGTGGGGCGCCCTCTCTGACGAGAAGACGGGTCTGTCTTTTGTGTATGCTGCTGGCCCTTGCCAGCGCATCCTTAACTGTGAATAGTGTTCGCTGCTCCTTATTTAGTCTCGTTAGTTACGTGATAGGTACCGCTGTTGTCTGACGCCGTGTTTGCCGATAGCCTAGCAACGCTGTCGGGAGTTGTTTACTGCTGCATAGCAACCGCGATATCCCTTGGTCACGTCACCACGGGAGTGGGCGGGGTGTTGACTGGCCTATTACCGTAGGAACGGCAACGCTCCGAAGGTGTTACGTCACCGCTAGCTGTGGAGGGGATGTCCTGCATAGCGCAAATACGCCACACTGCTCCCTTCTAAAGGTTCGTCCCGAACAGCCTAACGGTACATCCCCGTTCTCTACGTCACAATATTATATAAATGCTTTTATTACGTGGGTTACTTCAAAAGCCATGGCAATATAATTTTTCCGAAATATCGAAAGCTCCGACCGGAATTTCCAAATTTGCCGCTGAGAAACAGCAACGTCTGATTTCTAATGATGCCGCTAGATAATGCGGAAGTCAAAGGACAACGAAGCGAGTCCAGTGCGAAGTCAGTGTGATCATAACCTTCGAGAATGAACGTTAGCCGGCTGGAACAGCGTTGTTACGTGAAAATAGCAGTGCTTTGTGGCAGAAATGCGACTGAATGTCACTCAGAGCCTGTGGAAGCTCTGGATGATCGTGCTCTACCATACAGAACTGTTGCAAGGTGGATAGAAGCATTGCAACATGGAAGAGAAGCAACTGCCGAATTGCAACGTAGTGGACGTCCTGTGTCCGTTCGTACCGATGTTTCTCGTGCCGTAATCGCCTAGTGCATGGAGGAAGATAGGCGCTGGTCTCTGCAGGAGTTAGAAGGACATACAGGGATTTACCAGGCAACTGTGCATCGAATTTTACGAAAAGACCTACACATGCGCAAGACTTCAGCGAAGTGGGTGCCACACGAATGAAACGAGGTTCAAAAGTGGACACGTTATGAAGCAAGTCGTGTGAACCTCGAACGATATGAAACTGAAGGAGACAGTTTCTCGAATCGGATACTTCCCATCGATGAAAAATGGAATTTTTTGTTTCTTAATCAAAATTGAATTTTTCGAGGATTAAAGAATTAAAAAAAAACAGTCATTCCGTAATGTGCAATTTTTCTTGCCTACTACACCTACGCCCCTTCACATCTACCTGATCTGACTAAGCCAATTGGAGGGGTATCTCATGCCCTTTCATAAGTATGTTTTGAACTTTCTTCACTGTAACGTGTTTCCCCCCAAAAATTAGTTGCCATGACTTCTGAAGTAACCCACGTATTGAGGTTATGTGACTGTTAGGTGTGGTTTGGATTGGATGATTGGATTTGTTGACTACTTAAACATACTTCCCCGAACTAAACGTAATTACTAATAACACAGCGCTATTGGTGATCTGCATACTTCAGAGTTCACTGTTACACACACACTAATTCCTCAGTCTTTGTTAGTTGTATCCTNACACACACACACACACACACTAATTCCTCAGTCTTTGTTAGTCCCATCTTGGCAACGGATTTCAACACAGGAATTATATCAGTCTCGCTGTAACTGCAACACACACGATGTCTTCTTTGCACAGCCCAATTCCTTTCATCTCAATCATCTTCGAGTGCAGTCTTAAGAGACTCTCAATTCTAATTCTAGCTGGCCTGTAATCCTCCTTATAGCCTCGTGGCGGAACCAACCGAAAACACCGTTCCCTATTAATTCCTCTATTCTTATAGAGGCGTGTTTACCTCACGGCAGTTCTTCTGTTGTTGCTTGTGTATACGTTGCCGCGGGAATGCATTTATCGATCCATTGCCTACTAATGGACGTCCCTCCTGGCTCCACAATTTCTGCTTTCGGCCGTCAAGGCACAATATTAAACTTGTCTAATCTGAATTGTTTGTAAATCCAACGATTAATAGAAGCGTAACGGTGAAGTTGTCTCTCGTTAAAAGACTGTTCTGACGAGCTGAAGTAAATAATCTGACGAAGCAAATTAGCCTTCAAAAAGAAGCAATGAGAACTGTCTGAGCATCGCATCTTTCTTCGGTCTGAACGGATTAAGCCCTCTGGCATGTACTAATTCAGAATTAATTTCAGAACCTATCGATATGTTAGACTAATGAGGAGCTACTTAAATTGTACTCTTCGCCAGATATAATTAGAATGAACCAGTCAAGGAGTATGAGATGGGCAGGGCATGTAGCACGAATGGGTCGAAGAGGAATACATATAGAATGGTAGGAAAGTCAGAAAGAAAGAGACCACTAGTAAGACCAAGACGTAGGTGGGTGGACATTAATAAAATGAATTTTAGAGATATGATGGGTTGATATGGACTGGACAATCTGGCTCAGGATAGGGACAGGTGGAGGGCTCTTGTGAACATGGCAGTGGATCTTTGGGTTCCATAAAATTCTAGGGAGTTTTAGAGTGGTTGCACAATTGGTGGCTTCTCAAGAAGGGCTCGGCTCCATGAAGTTAGTTCTTTTGTAATCAGTTAGTGGATGTGTTAAACGTTCAGTATGCACACTTTGACGGGGAGATTGGCTCCACTTAAGGTCTCTGTCTAGAAAATTGCTTACATACATTAATGCCTCGCACCTCCAATTGAATTCAAACCCACGGTTTCTGTGCTTGGGCTGTCAAAGAAAATAAAGAGTTTTTTATTTCTACGCTTATAGATACCAGAAGGAATTTGCTCAGAACAACAGGGATTTTTAATTGTGACACTCATGCTATTCTGTTTTCTTTATTGCTAGTGGGGTGGAACTAAGTCCCTTGTACTGCGGCCACCTCTGGCCTATTGTACCAGCCCCAGATGATAGGTGAGGGTGATTGTGGAGCAATTAGTGGAATGAAGATTGGCAGGGGAAACCGAAGTACTCGAAGAAAACCTGCCCCAGCGCCACTTTGTCCACCACAAATCCCAATTGACCAGACCCGGGGTCGATCCCGGGCCGCCGCGGTGGGAAGCCAGCAACCAACTGCTTGAGCTATGGCGCGGCCTATGATATTCTTACTCACGTAGCATGAGTCATTCTGACCTCAACAATGCTGTGCCCAGCTTTGTAAATGTGTGTGTTGAACTGTGTTCGAGTCAAGTTTTTTAGAATTTCTGCGAGGAAATACTTTCTTTCGTGATTAGCGTCAGAGCACTTGCATACGGCGCTCTTACGTCGAGGCCCGTTTTAGATGTTGGCTAGGCTTGAAAATGATGAGTTCAGCTGTTTTCTTTTAGTAGTGGCCTCTAGACACTTGTTACGTAAACGCAGACGAAAATATTGTGGCATATATATATACTCGTATATATACAGCGAAGTGCCAAAAGTCATGGGATAGGTACCTAGTATCGTGTAGGACCCCCTCTAGCCCGGCGAAGTGCAGCAACTTGACGTACCATCGATTCCACAAGTGGATGGAAGACCTCTGGAGAGATGTTGAGCCATGCCATCTGGATACCCGCCCACAGCTCCCTGGTATTTGTAGGTGCAGGATTTTTGGTGCGAATGGACCTCTCCGCCACGTCCCATAAATGCTCCATTGGGTTCATGTCGGGCTAACGTGGTGGCCACACCATTCATTGGAACTCTTCAGAATGCTCCTCGAACCAATTCTGGACAACTCTGGCCCGATGACACGGTGCATTGTCCGGCTGGAATATCCCACCGTTGTGGGGGTACATGAAGTCCATGAGGGGCTGCAAATGGTCACCAAGCAGTGTAACGTAGCGGCCACCGGTCAATGACGTGTTTAGATGGACGAGCGGACCCAACTCATGCCACGTGAACACACCCCACACCAGTATGGTACCACCACCAGCCTGCAAGGTGCCTTGTTGACAACCGGGGTCATGGCCTCATGGGGTCTGCGCCACACCCGAACCCTACCATCCGCCTGAAACAACTGGTACCGTGACTCATCGGACCACGCCACATGTTGCCAATCTTCTAGGGTCCAATTAGCGACGTCACAAGCCCAGGTGAGGCGCTGTGTTAACAGAGGCACTCTGGTCGGTCTTCTGCTCCCATATCCCATGGAAGCTGAAGAACGCTGCACTGACCTGCTGGATATGCGTCTGGTACCTCCTGCATTGAATGTGGATGTGATTTCAGCCAGTGGCGCTTGTCTGTTACCACGGACAATTCTAGCTAGACACCGCTGGTCACGATCATTAAGCACCCGTGGCCGGCCACTGCGCTATCCACGGTGGGTGGAAATGCCTTCCACAAGGTATTCTCGGTACACACGTGACACCGCGGATCGAGGAATGTTGAATGACCGCACAACTTCGGAAATGGAATGTCCCATCCGCCTGGCACCCACCATCATGCCCCGTTCAAACTGCGATAATTCACGTCGGCTTGCCATGAGCAGACTGGCCAGTGTTCAACCTGACTCACGAGAGAACACCTCACAACTGATACTGCTCTGGGCATTCCCAAGCCTTAAGGCGATAATGAATCAATTAGTTTTATACTCCTTAATCTACTGTTCTCCAGTCTCAGTACTGACAGACCGGATTCAGTACTATATATCAATCTATGGCTCTACAGCCCTTTGTTGGGCCCTGGCCTCTTCTTCAGTTCCGTAATCTGTTTTACACAGACGGTAGGTCACCTCGGACGATGGATCAGCCCGTCGCAAGGCAGCTTCTTGCACACAGAACAACACAAACAGAATAAACGCCTCAAGTCGGATTCGAACCCACGATCCCAGTGCTTAAGCGGACGAAGAAAGTTCATGCCTTAGATGGGCGGCCATTGCGATCGGGAGTACTATATACATATGCACTCACCAGTCTCGTCCCCATTTTGGACATATCTTATTCGTAACTAACGCTAATGGGCAAACATTCAGTGGTGGAGATCAAACTTGATTCCCCGCCTCAAATACACGTAAGTGCGTAATATTTATTTCTGTTTATTACATTTTTAATGTGACTGTTTAGTTAAAGATGCTGCCAGTAGCGTGGCTATAAGGAAACAGCGTAGACTGAAGGTAAATGAGAACAGGGTATGAGGAAAGCATTTGGACCTGAGAGGGATGAAGTAAAAAGTAGTTGGAGAAAATTACACAATGAGGCGCTTCATAATTTATAATGCTCGCCAGATATTGTTGGGAAGATCGAATCAAGGGGGATGAATTGAGCAGGACATGGGAAAGAAAAGAAATGCATACAAACTTTTGGTGAGGAAATTTGAAGGAAAGAGACCACTAGAAGGAGCATGCATAGATGGGAAGATAATATTAAATTAGGTATTAAAGAAAGTCACGGGATCTTGTGAATACAGTAGTGAGTTCTAGGTTCATAAATTTCTGAGAACTTCTTCAGTAGCTAAACAACAGCTGGCATCTCAAGGAGGAACCAGGCCAGTGGAGTTATTTAATTAGTTTTTCGGTTGTTTCATCAGCCAGCAGCTCGGATTATATAGCGTCGAATAGAAGGACGATCAGTAAAAATTAATTGGAAAGGATGTGGACAGAAGTGGCCGTGGCCTATTTTGAAGATATTATTTGGAATTTGCGTGGAGGAACTGAGGAAAACCACGAAGATCTTAAGCCCTGACCCGATCTAGGTTCCCTCCTGCTACATATACAAGTCAGACAGAACCGTTGCCACATGAGCCTTCTTGCTTTGTATGCAGTTATGGCGATATTATTTTGGAATGAGCGAATTGCACATTAGGAAGGTCTCGGTTTCAGATCTCGGTCCGGAGATGTCCTGGCCAAGATTCTAATTTTTCTTTTTGAGCCAAATGCCAGGATAGTACCTTAAATTAGTGTACAACGTGTATGTATCCAGTCCGTCAATAAAGCAACAATTGTTTATTCACCATTTAACACTTTAACACATGTTTCGGCCACAGGTGGCCATCTTTAGGCGTCTCAATGTATCCAAACTGTTACACTGCTCTGACGTGCGCTGAAACCGCGCGCTGCAGTCCAATTAAAACTTACATAAAAATAAATAATTAAAATCCATTAAAATTTTACATTTAATTTTTCATTATGTCTGTAAAATCCTATTCCACCTCATAAGAGGCGTCGTCCGCTTGTTTAGAGCCATATGATTATTACAGAAGGTTTGTTCCGATACATCAAGACACCTGAAGATGTTGTGTTAAGTGTTAAATGGTGAATAAACAATTGTTGCATTATTGACGGACTGTGGATATGTTACTTACTTACTTACTCACTCACTCATGATGCTGAGCCCTTCTGGAGGAGCGGCCAATTCTGCAGCTACTCAAGAATTTCCCGACATTTTATGGAACCCGAAGGTTCATTACCGCGTTCACAAGAGCCCTCCACTGGTCCCTATCCTGAACCAGACCAATCCAATTCAATCCATACCATCGCATCCTACCTCTCTAAGATCCATTTTAATATTGTTCACCCACCTACGCCTTGGTCTTTCCAGTGGTCTCTTTCCTTCTGGCTTCCCTACCAATATCCTATACACATTCCTCGTCTCCCCCATTCGTACTACATGCCCTGCCCACATCATCCTTCTTGACTTGATCATTCTAATTATACTTGGGTACAAGTTATGAAGCTCCTCACTCTGCAGTTTTCTCTAACCTCCTGTGACTGCACCTCTCTTCGGTCCAAATATTCTCCTCAACACCCTGTGGACTGTGGATACATAGACGTTTTAATTAAAGTTTTGGAACAGGATGCTGAAATACAGAATTAATGTACAACCTCTTTCGTCCACCGCCTTCCCGCTTTGTACGTCTCAATTCGCCTCATGATTTGACGCTACATAAACTTTCCGATTGAAAACATTGTTAAATAAATCAAGATTAATCAAAATAAACAAGAATCTCGCGTCTATACATAAGAATCATGCAATGGGTGTGAGTGTATCTTGCCATCTGCCGGATACTGCCCTGAGCTGTAGTGTTGTTTGTGATCCAAACTGACAAAGTAGCATATAGGATCTTTCAACGCGCGTTTCCCAGGTTCGCAAGTAAACTATTCAACAAATCGCTGACATGTACCACGGAACATCGTAGTCCACTGATTAAGATCAGCTGTCTTTAAGGCCTTTTACACACAGAGCCGCCATACCTCACACAATCAAAATTTATCATGAAATTATACAGCTTATGACAGCAACATGACCGCCTCTGTGGTCTAGTTGTCAGAGTTTCTGACTACATATCCAGAGGTCCGGGCNTGAGGCGCTATTTCAAGGAAATAGCGGCGCCGGTCTAGAAAACCGAAATTAGCGGCCGTGGGGATTCATTAAGCTGACCACATGTCACCCTCTATCCGCTAAAGTTGGCACTAACTTCGCCGACAAGCGGCGGTCGCTCGGTCGGTATAGTTCGCTTGCGAACTAAAAACCACGGAGTTTGTTTTATTTTTTTATGACAGCAACAATGCCGAATTCCGGTAGTCTGGGTTCCTGACCAATATATTTTTATAGCCTGTTTCTAATTGTTGCACAGCCTGCCATTGTTGTTACATCTTTTGCTGTAACCGCGTTGAGCCGGCCTAGGGACAACTGAGCCACAACGTCCTGGTTAATCCGTCTTTGGGCGACAGTCATTTTGGTGGTACCACCATGTATGTTGACGGCACGCGATACGATTTCGCCACGTGCTGGGGAACAAGTAAGGTAAAAGTTAAATTTTTCCCTGTGCTTAACTAATTAAGCACTACGTCATGAAAGCGCATGGGGGAGTGGATGTATAGATCCACATTTTCTTGACGTCGGCACTATTTGGAGGTGAGTGATCAGCTTCACGTCCCGGCCTCTTTACCCCCGGGGAAAAGTCCCCCTGTACCAATTGGATAGGATGTTGGGTGAACCCCAGAGCCGGTTTGAACGACATGGAGAAGAGAAAATTCTTGATCCTGCCTCGACTCGAACTCCAACCCCTCATTCTTCCAGCCCGTAGCCAGTCGCTTTGCTGACTAAGCGATCCCGGCTTCTGGGGAACAAGTAGCCAACTCAAAATATGCTATGAGTATATTGGTGCTGCTGTGGTGGCTTCGTTTGTAAGAGGTTCAACGGACCCCCAATTCTCAGGCATGCTTATAACGCTGTTTTTCATAAAAAGGCAAGACAGTTTACAATTTCCAAAAAAAAAAGTGTTTTAATACGGCTCCAGTAGAATCATTCATAAACATTTTATCGTTTTCTTTCCAGACTGCCAGATCACGTGTCTCTCGAAGAAGGGGCACTTCTGGAGCCCCTGTCTGTAGGAGTCCATGCCTGTCGGCGTGCCGGAGTCGCATTGGGGAGCACAGTTCTGATAACCGGCGCTGGGCCCATTGGGCTGGTCACACTTATCACCGCGAAAGCCATGGGAGCTGCTAAAGTGCTTATAACAGGTTAGAACCCTTGTACTCGCTTCAGTTTCGCCATGTCGGACAGTAAATATGGCGCAATGCTGTCACCATGATCGCAGAAGAGACTTCTAGAATCGAGATGGCATTCACACGTAATGTTTTCTCTCTTAGACCCAACTGTTCTCTTCAGTACTTTGTAACTTTAAGAGCCGGCGTAGCTCAGTCGGTATAGCGACTGAGCTACCAGCTGGAAGACCAAGGGCTAGGGGTTCGAGTCCCAATGGGGTCAAGAATTTTCACTTCTCTATGTTGTCCAGGCCGGCTCTGAGGCCCACCCAACCTCCTATCCAATGAGAACCAGGGGCTCTTTCCCGGGGGGGGGGGATAAAGTGGCTGGGGCCTGAAGCTGACCACTCACCTCCAACTGGTGCCGAGGTTAAGAAATATGGATCCATACACCCACTCCCCTATACGTCTTCATGGCGTAATGTTTAATTAGTTAAACACAGGGACAATTTTACCTTTACCTTTTACTTTGTATTTTCATCTCTTGTTTTATTTGGTTTTGAAACTTGATCTATCACCCTCAGGGAAGAATTTTGGCTAGGGGGTTATACAAACATTACTTTGGACAAAGCCCTCCGATATACACAACGCTTTTTTGTATTGCTAGTGGGGTGGGACTAAGTCCCTTGTACTGCGGCCACTTCTGGCCTATTGTACCAGCCCCAGATGATAGGTGAGGGTGATTGTGGAGCAGTTGGTGGAATGAAGATTGGCAGGGGAAACCGAAGTAGTCTGAGAAAACCCGCGACCCGGGATCGAACCCTGGCCGCCGCTGTGGAAAGCCAGCGACTAACCGCTTAAGCTACGGCGTGGCCTACACAACGCTTAGGAAAATAAGCCGTTCTCTCTTATCATATGTAAAGCGAAGGGATTCTATATCGACCCGTTAGAAGACTCAGTTCCTGAAAGGTTGCGAAGGTATGAGAACTTTTTGTATTTCAATCAAGTTTCTTAGATTTCGCCGAACTCTCTCAAAATCTGTTAAACGAAGCCGGATAAAACCTTTGGATAAAATGATTGATGAAAGAATGTCGAAACAGCTGAACAGAATATGCCAGAAAGATGCCGGGGGGGGGGGGTGGAAGGAAAGCTTTGGAATATTTGAAGTTTGAACAGGCCTCATTGTATATAGTTAAGTGAATTGGACCGTCAGCACAACATGAAGAAGAATATCTTTAAAGTGGAAACAAAATAGATTAGTAAAAACCTACGCGGCCGAAGATAGAATAAAAGATCCTCCACACAGAGCATCGGCACACGATCCTGTAACATCCACGAACCCAAGACAACAGAAGAAAACTGCGTTTAATTGTAACATACTTTAAGATGATTTATTACGTATTATTCAGTATAAACAGTGAGCCGGGATAGCGCTACGGGCTAGGCGACCGAGGGGTCGGAGCTCGAGTTCCGGTAGGGTCAAGAATTTTCTCTTTACGTCTTCTCTACTTCCTATACAATGGGTACCGGGAGCTATATCCCCGGGGTAAAACGGCCGGGGCGTGAAGTTTACCACTCACCTCTAACTAGTTCCGAGGTCAAGAAAATATGGATCTATTCATCCATTCCGCCCTACGCCTTCATGGCGTAGTGCTTCATTAGTTAATCAGAGGGACAACTTTAGGCTTTTACTCAATATAAACATTTTAAAATTATACCTGCTTTAAGACGTATTATATTAATAAATAATAGTTATTAAACCCTAATATATAAATTTCAACTTTTAACAACAAGTTTACTCCACTTTGACTTGTCTCTATATATTGTTTATATTTCATTAAGGTGTATTCGCTAATAATTACACCTATAAAAAATTGCATAACATGAATCAGTATCAGGGCAACTAAATTTCAAGTAACTTTGTTTCATGGAATACACCTGATGATGACCTAAGTAAATGTCGAAACATATAGCATACACATGCTTACAATAAACGAGCAAGATACACCACAACATGTATTTTGTCTCGACCTTGAAGTCATCCTTCTGTAGGTTGTATTGACGGTCCAATTCACATAACTATTGAACACACAACAGGATGCAACCCATAAAACTCGTATATTTCTGAAAGCGAGAAGGAACAAGAAAGTTTTTAGACAGTAGGAAGGAAAATAAGAGATTCTGGACTTAATTGCATTGAGCATCATGTCGGTCAGAGTAGATAAAACCCCCCAAATCAAATGAAATACAAATCCCCATACACAGAATTTTGTAGGAACTGTATGTCCACATCGTCGTGCTTCTGACCTTTGCAGACATCGTCGATCATCGCCTTGGAATCGCCAAAGAGTTAGGAGCTGACTACACTTTCCTGTCAAAAGTGGGTCAAGACGAACACGAAACAGTTAAGTCTTTCCATTCCTTGCTGGCCGGGCCCCCGGACATCACCATCGACTGCAGCGGAGCTGAAGCCAACATTCGTCTGGCAATCCTCGTACGTAAAGCCCTGTGTGCTTCTTGTGCTGTATACTCCCCTCTCGAAATTTCCCAGCTCGGCAAGATTTGGGGTGACAATGAAGATTCCTCTCTATGGGCTGTGACGCCACGTAACATGGTATATTGTTGCCTGCGTTTCGGAGGCATATTCTGCTCCCTTCTTTGGAATATAAGAATAAGATAGAGGCGATACTTCGGTATCAGCCCACCTTTCAGAAGAGCGTTATGACCTTTCCATCAATATCTTATAGCTTTCTCGAACATTTGCTGGCAGCAAACCTAAGTCTTCGGTCCAGTTTGCCCACACTATATGCCGAAGAAATTTATAAGACATCATAACACTATTTTAGAATTGAAAAAAAAAAAATTATGGATTTTGCCCAGAGAGGTTAAGCAAACCTTGATACTTAGGAAATACCATAAACTAATTATTTTCAATGTTTTTCCGACTTCGGCATTGGTAATATACTACTGTGTTTTCAAGAAAAATCCTCTTCATGGAATTCGTCAGTGACATAATTATGAGTAATGAGTAGGGTGCTGTGACCGATATGGAGATTTCATCCCCTCGCCTCTCTGGAAGAATTGAATAATGCCGCAAATCATTCCACAAAAAGCATCAGGTTCATCGGCCTAAATTCAACCCAGATTACTCCCGGACTCAAACTTGACGTATTACCGATGAACAAATCCGTTAAGTATGGCGAAATGAGGAAAACCACGGAAGCCGACAGTTAGGACAACCGTACTTATCACAGTTCTCTCGTTATACTTCTGATCTCAAGTCCGTCGCTCTATCATTTCACCGAAATTGGAGAGGTCAATATTTCGCATGGGATTTCTGTGAATGTTCAGTGAATATGTGTTTTCCCAAAGCGACCGAATGTTGCTATTGTAACCGTCCCCTTTTCGTTCTTTGTATTTATTTGCCTGCTTCGGTAGACAACTTGACTCTTATCAGGTTCGTGTTACGGTAATAACCGAGGCAACCGGAAAATGCACACTTAAAGCCAGTCCACTGTCAGAAATCAACGACACTATTTCCACTCTCCACAAATTGTTTATTTCAGAAGTGAAATATTATAACTTCATTAGCAAGCACTGAGTAATATGGCCCTTTATTACTATCAAAGCTTTATCGAACCAAAGTGAAGGACTGATGAATTTTGATAAACTTGAGGAGTGCGGCCCAATGACGTCTGCCTCCAATGAATTCAAAACGATACGTTTTTGAAGACTGGTATCCTGCGGTAGCGTCGCTCCATCACCTGTGAAGGATTTGAATTCACGGCCTCTCTTCCAGGCAAGAATAGTTTCCTATTGTCTGATTTTAACTAGCCAAATTCATCATGCAATCAGCACTAGACAATCACATAACGGACTTTGAGAATAAAGAGATCCCAAGATACAGAACCCGGAACCCCACATGTGAAAGCGGTTATTTCTTGGTTTAGGGTCCAATTACACCCTTCCGAAGACACCTTTATGACAGCTACACCTGTCAGAAAAACAAAATTTACATCTTCGGCAAACTACAGACTTGCCTCCCGTAGTGGCCTTGTCCCTTTCCGGTCACCCAAGCTGCAGGTAACAAAACAAGGCAGTTGTTTCTGTCCAGATACGAAAAGCAATGCTAATAAATCGGTCTCCCTAATAAACCAGTCACCCTACTGATGTGGCTAAAGAGGACCATAACGTCCCATGGAGAGTTGTAAAAGGTTTGGACTGTCACACTATCCATCATAATATTGTATTTCAGCATCCTGCTGCATTGATGTATCGCTTTACACATTTGCTTCCATCTTTAATATACATTTACCATTGCTTCTTGGAGTAAAATAAAATTAAAATTAAACTTCTACATATTTCAGCCATACTTGGCCATCCTCAGCAACTCTTTTCTTTTCTCCCTTGGCACTACAGCCCCAATGGGCCTAGGCCTACCTCCATATGAACTCCGTTCACTTCGGTTTTTCTAGATCTTACACATTCGGTAGGACTCCTTGGGCGAGTGATCACCTCGTCGCAAGGCCTCTACCTGTAGACAAACACAGAAAAAACGCACACAAACATCCATGCCCTGAGTGGGATTCGAACCCACGATCCCGGCTTCCGAGCGAGCGAAGAAAGTGCATGCCTTAGACCGCTCGGCTACCGTGACCGGCCAGGCAACTCTTTACTTGTTGAAATTTCTGCATTGCTTTCTTTCTTAAGTTAAAATATTCCAGCGTTATTCCATTTTCGTCGTTCGCTTATTACAGTAAATTTGCTTGAGAACATCCCTCTTCGTCCGTACTTGCGCCACCATCTTCGTGCGGCGTCCGTGTTTTCTGTGTTGATTTATTTAGGCCTATGAATATCGGTGTGGTAGTGTTATCGTTGTTATTGTTGAGGCGCGTCCACATTACTAGGGCTCGTGCGACTCGCTATGCTCGCGAATAATGTGGACGATATGACAAGTCACGAGACAAGCAGATTTTAAATTTTTAATTTAAAGACTATAGCCAATAAATTAAAACAAGACTACAGCCTATACACACTACGAGTAAATATACGGATCCTCACGCGCCGAAGCCTGGCGAGCAACTGAAGTAGTGTGGACGAAGATTTACGAGCACAAGTAAGAGCCAGGCGAGTCTCCTGACGAGCACGAGCACGAATAATGTGGACGCGCCTTTATATGTCCCGTTAGTGTGTATGTACCCACGCACTTAGTGTAGTCGAGTATAGGAGTATGTCTTTATTATTATTGTTATTATTGTTGTCAGTAGTAGTAGTAGTAGTAGTAGTAGTAGTAGTAGTAGTAGTAGTAGTAGTAGTAGTAGCCCCTCCAGGCAGTTGCCGGAATAGTACCTTATATTAGGCTACGGCCGCTTCCATTCACACACTTTCCAATTATCATCCAATCATTCGAGGGCATATTGTTTGAGTTACTAACAGTGAAGTTGAAAACACTCCGTGGCCTGTAGTCCGCAAGCGAACTATACCGACCGAGTGACCGCCGCTTGTCGACGAAGTTAGTGCCAACTTCTGCGGATAGAGGGTGACGCGTGGTCAGAGCAACGGATCCCCACGGTCGTTAATTTTGGTTTTCTAGACCGGAGCCGCTATTTCCTAGAAATAACTCCTCAGTTATCCTCACGAGGCTGACTAACCCCGTTCCAGACCCACTACTTCTCAAAAAACGTGGTAGCGCCGGGAATCGAACCCAGTACGTCTGCATCTGTAGCCAGGAACTCTGACCACAAGACCACAGAGGCGGCCAACAGTGACTTTGAAGTAAGCTTGAGTACAAATAAATCCACAGTGGTGAGTCTCGAATAAAGTGGGCTCCCGCTGATACAGTGTTTACTTGTGTTCTAACGTGACAGACGGGCACTTGTAAGTGAGATAGGATTTTCTCTTATCTCACTTGACGACTCAGCTTATCCTTTGCACAGATAACAGTCTATTGTGATTCCTCCCGCTGAGGTACTCCCACGGCGTTAGTTTACCTGTAGATGTTGTGTGTAGCAGGAGTCAGCACTTCATGCAGTCGTTTGCATAAACAATCCTGGCCGCGTCACTGTCGCCCTCCAACCACCGATTCCTGATATGCCATTTGTATTGATTAAAGTTCTTTTTCATGGTCAGTCCGAAGACCATGCCCTGTTCTGCTACAGTGGTTGTACTTGTACCCGCACATCATGAGCTGTGTTGTAATCGTGTCACAGGGGGTGTGTGAAAGAGTGCTCTGCTGTACGTAGCTGAGTCCATTTTGAGAAATGTGCTGACACGTTTGAGTTTTGTATAAATATTTGCAATACTTGCACGGTACGAAACAAAATCAAATTATCCGGTATAAGCCCCGCAGCATACAAGTTAAACCGAAGTTCTTTCCAAAATTTCGTACGTGTAACATGCAGACAGCTGCTGTTTTCGGAAAAATGATCAGGTGCTGAAGTGGGACCTTATTAATCTGCATATTGTCATCTGTCATGTGACATGTAGTTTGGTAGATAGGTACCAAAGTTTCGGAGAAAGATTCACCTGCCTTAATAGTACAACAGTGTTCTCTACACTGAAGATGGAAACAGCACATCCCTCCGAAAGTTTGATACATATCTACCAATATATTGTAGTTCGTCTTTCTTCTTTTACACTACATGTTTCGGCCGTAACTGGCCATCATCAGGTGTAAAAGAAGAAAGACTACAATAAAATGTTGTATTTACGACGGTATTTATATTATACATATAAAAGTGTAGAGTGCAACAGGAAGCTTAAATATATCTACCAAATTACACTCACATCCCCTGATGGTGCTATTTTCGTATTTCCCTCCTTGAGAAGCTCACATTTCATGTGCTCTTATTTACGGCTTCATGGTTTTCCTCACTTCTCGAGCCGAGGTAGCGTAGTTGGTATAGCGACTGGTTACGGGCTGGACGACTGTGGGATCGGAGTTCGAGTCCCGGTAGGGTTAAGAATTTTCTCTTCTCCCAACCTCCTATCCAATGGGTACCGGAGGCTCTTTCCCTGGGTGTAAAGCGGCCAGGGCGTGAAGCTCACCACTCACCTCCAACTAGTGCCGAGGTCAAGAAAAACGTGGATCTATACATCCACTCGCCCATACGTGTTCATGGCGTAGTGCTTAATTCGTTGAGCACAGGACAACTTTACCGTACCTTACCTTTACCTCGACTCGAATGCCTGCATAGCTCACATCCTTACCTACCACCACTCATACCCAGCGTCAGTGCTAGATCTTTCGACCATATTGCAGCTGCACTATAATCTCAACATCCAGCCATTTTAGGACACACTGCGTACGTAGGGACCGAGTTATGTACACCCGAGAATATGCAGGGTTTTTACGAATCCGTAAATTTTTACTTACAGGCTACTAAGTCGGGCGGTGTGGTCGTGCTTGTTGGGCTGGGAGCCCCTGAACAGAAGATACCATTGGTCAATGCAACTATAAGAGAAGTTGACATCCGAGGAATCTTCCGTTACGCCAACGAGTAAGTTGAGTGTTGCAAACACCCCACGCTATTGTGAGCACCAGAATTATTCCTAATATAATTGTTTCCATAAACTAAGAAACGACTTAGCAACAGATAAGTTATATCTGTATCCATACCAGAGTCGCACTACATGATGTTATTTTGCAGCTACCCCATTGCCTTGTCTATGGTGGCATCTGGTGCTGCCAAAGTGAAACAGCTCATTACGCACAACTTCAGCCTCGAAGACACGCTCAAAGCTTTCGAAGTTGCCAAGACAGGCGTTGGCAACCCCATCAAGGTGATGATTCATCCGCTTCAAGACAAAGTGTAATGCAATTGCGACGGATTTTCGTGCTGTAAAGAATCATAATCGTAAAGATTTTAAATTGCTTGTGTTCAAATGAAGAGTTGCCTTTTAAATTGTGAAAAATGTTGCGATTAGCTTTAAGATTTGTATTACATGGTTTTGCTTGTATAGTATATTGCTGATCAAGGGGCCTTCTGTATACATTGGTTATGGCTTTCTTTCAACATTTATGATCCTATTGTTTGTCATGCCATTCGTCCATATCATTTACCGAAAGCCATGGTTACTCCGAAGTTTTACATAATTTTCCTCAGTGCCCCAACTGAGCTACGGGATAGCTCTAAAAATATACCATGGCATTTCTTTCCGCACCGTTCTCGGTTATAATCACTCCGCTATTCAACACTTGTAACCTACGCAGTAGACAATGTTTCGTTAAATTAACGAAGAGAGAAGTTACTAGAAGTATTTTCTACACTGTATAATGTTAATGGAAATATTTCGAATATAACTCAGCTGTTCTAGATTTTCAGCTAGTAAATCACAAATGCCCTCCTCAGAAATGTGTCGATTGAAGGCAAGCTATTGTAAAACTATAGGTGTTTTATTCCGTGCGGGAATATAAAGTTCAAACTTTAGATGACGCTAATTATTCGCCGTATCCCATTTTATTTTGTCTCCTTAATCTTTACTTATCATTGTGCTTTGCATTACTTTGTTTTGATTGATATTTATCTAATAATTAGTATGCCGCTGCAAGTAAATGAGATATTTATATTCCTCTAAACATCGCCTGACCGGTCACGGTAGCCGAGCAGTCTAAAGCATGTAGTCTTCGCTTGCTCGGAAGCCGGGATCGTGGGTTCGAATTCCGCACAAGGCACGGGTGTTTGGTGTGTGTATGCGTTTATTCTGTGTTTGTGTTGTCCTGTGTTTAGGTAGGGGCCTTGGGACAAGCTGATCACCCGTCCAAGGAGTCCTACAGTCTGTGGAAATGATCATGTAACTGAGGAATCAGTCCTACGCTCCAAAGCGGGAACGAGAGGAAAAGAAAACATAGCCTGAAGACACACACACACACACACAGATCTCTCTCTCTCTCTCTCTCTTTGGTAGTGCCTTCACGTCACATCTCCTAAAACATGATTGCATGAAGATGTATAAGGTCATTGGGACATATTTCCGCGAATTCATGCCTCAGCGTCTATAAAGTAGGCCATCTTCTCTCCCACTTGTTGTCTAATCCACCGAATAAAAAAAAAATTTCTCATACCCTTCGACACTAAGTCTCTTCAGTTGATAAATAAACATACAAGTCAAAATTATCACTGAACCTAAGAATCTTTTCACAACGGCGTAAAGTGGGCAAGGATATATAATATATTATAACCTCAGCATTAGATGAAGCGGGAGGTGTCAGTATAAGCTTCGGAACGCCTTGAGACGGGGTGAAGTCCCTGGTGTTGGCTAAATAGGAGACACCAGTAAGCATTTAGTTGCTGAGCTGTCACTGTTAATCTTGTGTTCATAGACCATTATGTGAGCCACGTGCTTTCGACATCGTTTTTAATGACTTCATGAGTTTCCATCTGCTTGACATCTGCCCCCCCCATGTGTTTCATTGCATTTCTTTGTCTGCTGACCGGATTAGGACATGGATCCTTACCTCCATCCAGAGCCGAAGTTATGGATGTGGAGCTATAGTTCCACTCCTTCATACCTTTCCACGGCACGGTGTTTGATTTGTAAAGCACAGGAACAAATTTAACTTTATCTTTTTATGTGGGCCTTAATAAAACCTCTACTGACTTATGGATACTTTCATTGTCAGAATGTTTATTTTAATATATTTATAGTAACTTGACTCCATTCGGTACTCTTAAAATCATTCTGTTCAGCGAACCTTTAAAATAGCACGTGTAAGCAACAAGGCGGGACAGAAACCTAACCGTTTGTTGATGGGCTATAATTACTGCCCCCAACTCAGAGTGGAAGGAACTTATAGGAATACGAATGTACAAGAACTTCGAACTCAATTTATCCGCGTTCCTTTCCCCAAATCTGTCCACATGCCTGCTTCATTGTCGTGTTCACAAGCATTGTTCTTTTGCTCAGCCAGTTGGATGCATAGAATTACTGTGTTTTGGAACTTTTTCCATCATTAGGTGTTCTAAAGAATAGAAAACAGTACTGGACGATGAACAAAGTCCAAAAACCCCGTAATTCTTTTTACAGAGTGGGGCGCAGAAACTTCCTTTTTGTGAAGACGCATTGTGAAGGGAGGGGAGGTCGCAGAGAAGTGGGGATAGGCTCGGCGAACGCAGCAGTCGCGGAAGTTTCTCTCTAATACCCCTCACTAGNTGGCCCTTATTTTTTTGAAGAAGACAATCATGCAGTACTGTCGAATTCATAGCGGTATGTGGACATGATTAAAACTTTTTCGAACCAGCTCTTGAAGAAATGCATCTGGGAAATGTCTGGTTCCAACAGGATGGTGCCACGGCCCACACAGCCCGAGCTTCGATGACAGTTTTGAGGGCAAAGGTCCCCGGATGGCTCATCTCGCTTCGAGGTGACATCCCGTGGGCAGCCCACTCACCTGATCTAGCGCCCTGTGATTTTTGATGGGGATACCTCAAGGCAGAGGTTTTTAGACATCGCCCCACAAACCTGCTTCAGCTGAAGAATGCTATTCGGCAGGAAGTAGCCCAAATTCCCGTGCACGTGTTGGAACGTGCAGAGGGGAACTTCACAGAACGGTGGCCACCACCTTCAAGATATTTTGTTTAAAACTACATGATTTAAAACTTTAAAGTATGTTCTTTCATTAGCTAAACATAAATTTTGTCTATCAGCAATAATTTTTCTTTTATTCGCCATCAAAAATAAAAAAGGAAGTTTCTGCGCCCCACACTGTATTATACACCATCGTCAGAACTCTTTAGAATCCAGTTGGATGCAGTCTACATCTCAACCTCCACCTGTAAGGTCCAGTTTAATATTATTTGTAATATTTAGTAAGTAATTTTAATGGTAGTTGTCATTGAAACTGATACGGATGACAATGAATGAATATGGGACACTGTTAGCCTAATGTTTATCAGCGAACCTGCTTTAATGTCACTTCGTTCATTTGCCTTTTCCTTCAGCACTCTTAAATCATTCTCTGCAACTTCCAGCAATCTCATTCTGGTTCTTTCCACGCATCTTCTGGTTTCGACTAAGAATATGTGAGAGCAATATCCGCGATCCCCGATAGCCTGTGTCTATCTCGTTTCAAATTTAATTTTTTGCCTTGTAGTACGGCAGCTTATTCGGCACATCTGTAATGTGTGTAGCCTGAACGCTCAGGAAGTGGAGACCTCTATCATCAAATCGTGCAGCCGAGAAGTGCAGATGGAATGCTACGTCAACAGCGAAGCGGTATCCTATTGTGATATGTGTTTATCTTCGACGTAAAGGGCGTGTGCCTTTGGAAATTGGAACTGCAGTAAAGTAACCCCATGGAACGGGGTGATGCATGCTTTCAGATTAGAATTCTCGTTTGCACGTCTAGGTGCTTGTTTTGAGAAGATAGGTTTTGTTATACATTTTTATAATCTCATTCATATTTCATGATAAATACTAACCAAGTTTTACGTAAATTATTAATATTCAAATGCTGGAGATAATATTAACTCTTCCCTCTTTCGATACCAGTTACGAAGGTCTACTTTTGTACAACGCGGTAAACTGTACTTCTTTTGGCTTGTTTTGGACTTCATCCATCGTCTGGTATGTAGTTAGTTAGTTAGTTATTGGAGAGGGTGGGTTTCCCCATGCACTGAGACCTGTAGTGGTCCATTGTGCTTCCCTCTATGATTTCTACCAGTCTCTATATCCTACCGGTACTGGTGCTTACCATCAGTCCCGCCCAGCCAGCGAGACCGGCTGTACTAGCTGAGAGGTATCTATAATGCTTCCCCCATCTACCAGAGGTATTAGAGACTGCTGTTGGGCGGGAAACGTCCCTTAATTTGTCTCAGTGACCTCCTTTGGAGATATGAGGTTCTTTTACGTGCCGTAAAGCTACGACACGGGACCCACGGCTTAAAGTCCCTCCCGGAGGACTTGTTCCCTCAATTTTTCCGCCCTTAAAAATTCGACGACCTTCGCCGGGTATTTGAACCCGCGTACTACGAGTCATGAAGTGGGAACGTTACTTCTAGACTACGGAGGCCTCTTTCGTCTGGTATGTAAAAGGCACGTCGTGGTCTTTTGTCTTTTACATATCAGACGATGGATGAAGTCCAAAACAAGCCAAAAGAAGTACAATATATACCATCGTCGGAATACTTTCAAGTCTAACCGCGGTAAACTATGGTAATCAAAAATGATGTAATTTCATAACTTCATGCTTTCACATTTATCCAATCTTCAGGGCTACATTAGGTTTGGATAAGGTACTGTTCACCTCTGTAAGTGCTTCGGTTCTCTCAATTTTAGCCGCCAGAAAAACGGTTTCAAAACTATATAGAGATTGAAGGCAAATATACTTCGTCTGAATCGTCTTTGAGAGTACGTCTTATCTTGAGCAGGCCTCTTTACGGAACATGAATCCCGCGTGTTTAAAAATACATGCACTTTGGCTGTTCTCATTTCCATCACACGAAGAAAACCGAATCAGGTAAGTTTCTAGGAAGGTGTAACGCTCTACCTCATTTTCTGATGATGGCACGCTATTGAGAAAGTTTTGAACACATTTTCGTAAATGTAAAATTAACTTTAGAGTTGATACAAAGCAACTACATTTTCGTATCGTTCTTTCCAATACCCGTGTGGCTGAAACTAGCCCAGAAAATGTATTTATATTCTGATATAGTCTGGTAGTTAGGATACATAGTTCTCACCCAGGGCGCTCGGGTTCAATTCATAATATCAGAAAAAAATATGTTTCGGGTTTTAGGTTCTCACAGCGGTGACGCCGTATAATCCGATAAATGTTCTACGTTTCGGAGGAACATACTGCCCCCATTTTCAGGGTTACTACCTGCATCTTCAGGGTCGAAAAGGAGATCGAGCAAACTGCAGGCTGAGTGATTTATTTTGTTTATTTACAGAAAGTACTTCAATAATGCTCCGAACACAACGGAAGCAGTTTTGCTCAATTAGTACTAAATAATGTTGGCAGATGTCGGCATGAGTACGGAGAGTTCTGCCATCTATCGAATATGAATCAGACATTTGTCACTATTTGTGATGTTATTAGAGTGTATTAGATCAATTGGATGGAAGTGTAATATAACGCGGTTAATTACGAGGTTGAAAGAAGTAATACGAATGGCCGCAGGCAAAGTACCTGTAAAAGCGGTATTAATAGATTTAAGTGGGACCTTGCACGTTGAAGATACTGCTATACCAGGAGCTGTAGACGCTTTAAAGAGGTGTGCTTTCTGTAGCATGGAAATTGGTTAAGGTAGTGTTATTGTTAGGGAACACAACTTTCACGTTTTTTTTTTCTTTTGTTCCAGGTTGCGACATTCAAATATTCCCATTAAGTTCGTGACAAACACAACAAAAGAATCCAGACGATGCTTGTATGAAAGATTGATAGGCCTGGGGTTTGAACTAAAAGAAGGTGAAATATGGAGCTCACTGTGGGCAGCACAGGTGTGAAATTTGTTACACATAAACAAGGGGGCTGGTATCAGAATGGCTTATAGAGACCGTGTTTTAATGCCTGGCCCAAGTTTTGTGCATGAGATGTATGACAAGAAGTAGCATTATATTTCAGCTTCCTGTTATGTTGAGACATTATCCTATTTTACTAATGTATCCGTCAGTAATATAACTTTAAAAAGACATAGGAATATGTTGTTCACTAAAACTGCATTTTAATACTATGACAGTTCAAATCAATAATATGCCCATAGGCTATTATGTTAGCATATAAATTTACACGTTAAAAGTGAATGTACACACTCCTCAAGTTGTCTTGGTTTTATTTATTTATTTATTTCATATCATATCCATGGATCATTGTACATGATATAGGACAAGTCAAATACTTTACAATACAATAAGTAATAATAATAATAATAGTAATAATAATAATAATAATAATACAATGTATAACACAATGATATAATAGTATACAAAGATAATAAAATTATGATTCGAATGATATATGTCCTGGGTGGTTATGGTTATGGAGAGTTTGATGGAATGATTTTACATAATTTATCTTCACAACATGTTTCGGCCTCACTGGGCCATTATCAGGTGAATTTTATCCTTGAGTGGGACCACTGCACTGTATTTGTTTTCTGTGCTTCTCGTGTTCACGTCATTTTACTGCATGCTAGTTGTTATGTATAGGGAGTGGGCCTTCTTGGCTCTTGCACCACGACCTACAGTGGTCTGTTGTGCTAGTTCTTAAATTTCATTTTTATCCAGCTATTTTGCAGCTCTTATCATTGTAACATACAAAATGGCTGAACAAAAATTAAATTTAACAACTAGCATGAAGTAAATGGCGTGCACAAGAGAAGCAGGGGAAACAAATACAGTGCAGTGGTCTCACTCAAGGATAGAATTCACCTGATAATGGCCCAGTGAGGCCGAAACATGTAGTGAAGATAAATTATATAAAACGAAAACAACTTGAGGAGTGTGAACATTCACTTTTAACATGTAGGGCATTTTATTGACTTGAACTGTCATAGTATTAAAATGCATTTTTAGTGAACAACATATTCCTAATGTTTTTAAAGTTGTATTATTGATGGATACGTTAGTAATATTTAAGAAGTAGCATGGTAGTGGTTGCAGTTTCTTTATGAGGGGAAGGGTGTTGCACTGTAACTAAGGCCTGGTTATGATCCATGCACACCCTACAATCTTTATTTCTGTTAGTGGATTTGCTATCAACTTCATATAAAATTTTGTCCAATATTCTTCTTTCAAGGTTAAGTCCATATATAGATGAAATTATTGGGGATCATCAGTGCGGGTTCCGACGTAACGTCAACTGCAGATCAGATCTTTTGCATTCGTCAGATACTGGAGAAAAATTAGGAGTACGATGAGACAGTCCATCAGCTATTCATAGACTTCCAGAAGACCTATGATTCAGTTAGGGGGGAAGTATTGTACAATATTATGATAGAGTTTGGGATACCCATGAAACTAGTTAGGTTGATTAAAATGTGTTTAAACGAAACGTATAGTGAAGTCCGTATAGGTAAACATTTGTCTGATAAATTTCCTGTCCAGAATGGTCTAAAACAAGGAGATGCTTTATCGCCACTCCATTTCAACTTTGCATTAGAATATGCCATTAGGAAGGTCCAGGAAAACCAGGTGGGACTGAAACTAAACGGGACACTTCAAGTTTTTGGCCTATGCTGATGATGTGAGTCTACTGGGTGATAATGTAGACACCATAAAGAAAAACACAAACTTTAATTGACGCAAGTAAAGAGGTTGCTCTAGAAGTAAACACAGAGAAAACTAAGTATATGTTACCAAAATGCAGGGCAAAATCATGACATAAAGATAGGAAACAGATGTTTTGAAAATGTGGCACAGTTCAGATATTTGGGAACGGCGATAACAAATCGAAACGTGATTGAGGAGGAAATTAAAGAGGCGACTGAACTCGGGTAATGCTTGCTACCATTCAGTCCAGAACATTATGTCTTCTCGTATGTTGTCCAAAAACATAAAAATTAGAATATACAGAACTATAATTTTGTCTGTGGTTCTGTATGGGTGTGAAACTTTGTCTCTAACATTAAGGGAGAAAGATAGACTGAGGGTGTTTGGGACAGGGTGTTGAGGAGGAGATTTGGACCAAAGAGTGATGAAGTGACAAGAGGTTGGAGAAAACTGCATAATGAGAAGCTTCATAACATGTACTCTTCTCCAAGTATAATTAGAACGATCAAGTCAAGGAGGATGAGGTGGGCAGGACATGTAGCACAAATGGGGGAGACGAGGAATGTGTATAGGATATTGGTGGGAAAGCCAGAAGGAAAGAGACCACAGGGAAGATGAAGGCGTAGGTGGGTGGACAATATTAAAATGGATCTTAGAAACAGGATGGGATGGTATGGATTGGATTGATCTGACTCAGGATAGGGACCAGTGAACACGGTAATGAACCTTTGGGTTCCATAAAATGCTGGGAAATTCTTGAGTAGCTGCAGATTTGGCGGCTCCTCCAGAAGGGCTCAGCTCCATGAGTAAGTAAGTGAGTAAGTAAGTAAGTGGATTTGACCATATCAACTGTGTGTTCTGCTGATAACAGCTAGGTCTAATAGCATGGACAGTACATTGCGTATATTGTGACTGCAGAATGAACCTTCACTCTTGTGTAGGATCTGTTGCGGTCTCGTAATTTGCAACCGATGCTGATGGTGGATGATGCAGCATTAGAAGATTTTTCTGGTCTTACTGACTTCAAGGAAGAAGAGCAAAATGCTGTCGTGATAGGCCTCGCTCCAAATATGTTCAACTATAGCCAGCTCAATAAAGCTTTCAGGTGTGTAGCATCAAACCTATTGTTGTAAACTTATGATGTAATTTTTGTTTTAGATTTGTAGATTTTTTAAAAATACATTAATCATAGAAAACAGTTTTGGCAGCTTATGAAAGTATCTACAAATTATGGTACCAGAAACTTGCTGCCTGCATAAATATTAGTGGACAGCAAGATTAATATAATGAAAATCAGCTGTCTCAATGAGAGAGAGCTTCCAAAAGCCATAAGTTGAGGTCAGAGAATCCAAAATCTAGATGAGGTCTAAATGTGGAATTTCCTGTGCATAAATTGGATCATTCATCTCCACCGAAACTGAAAGTTTTAGGATTCAAAAAATGGACACAGTTTTAGCACAGGTAAATTATGGACTTGACAGTGTCATACACTGTTCAAATGAGAATTATTAGCATAACAGTTTTTTATAGGGAAATCTCATGGAAGTAGATCACTTGGAAGATCAAGATAATGATGAAAAAAGTAAAAGTAAATGTAAAGCTATCCCTGTAACAGGCCGTGAAGGCCCATAGGGTTGTGAGACGTTGAGGGTCCCACATTGTCTAGACATCCAGTTGACCTAATCCTTCCAGCTGCTCTAGGCCCTGGGGTTTACTCAGCCTCTAATAGAAATGAGTACCAGGAATGATGAAATAATAAGGAAATGAATGTTAAGGAAGTTTATTATGGTGATATGAAACAACACATGATAGAACCTGGCAGTGAGTTTTTGTGGTGATTACAGTGAAGCTTTGGGCTTTGTAACGGAATATTTGTTGTAGACTCAAGTAAGTAGGTTCACAGAAGATTCTATAGCATGATGAGTTAGAGAGGATTAGGAATAGGGTAGTAATAAATCAAAAAAGATGGCAGGAGTATGACTTGGATCAAGCATCAAGGAAATGAAGCAATTAATAAAAAAAAAGAAACCACTTTTGGAGACCTAGGCATAGGTAGGAGGATAGTATAAAAATAGGTTGTAGGAAAATGAGTTGTGAAATCAGCTCAGAGGCATGAGGCAGAAAAATAAGGCCATGGTTCTTGTGGGGCCAAGAATGACTGTGCTGGCGAAGGCCAGCAGCAATTTATGCAAACCTGAGTTGTGAAATAGATTGACTTATATACTGTAGGAGCCGATAGCTGGCTTATGTGGTCTTAATTCTGGAACAATAAGGAATCTTTGGGGCAAGGTGCCATGAAGTTAATGGGATGAATTCCTTGTTGCTACACATGTGAGCTCACCAAATTTGTATTAAGAAACTGGATTCATTCTCAAGGATTAGTTAGAACCTAAGGAACTTCATCACTTGTTTTATTGCAGGTTACTGTTGAATGGGGCTCCTTTGATAGCAATTCATTATGGGCGCTATTACAAACGCTCTGATGGGCTTGCTCTAGGACCAGGCCCATTTGTGAGGGGTCTGGAGTATGCTGCAGACTGTCGCAGTGAAGTAGTTGGCAAGCCATCATCAGCATTCTTCCAGAGTGCTCTTGGAGATACCGATCCAGCTCATGCAGTCATGATTGGTGATGTAAGTCGTATATGTTGTGAATATGTTCTGTAGTAATAACTATTTCTTAGCGGTATTTCTCATATTGTTGGTCTGTGGAAAGATTTAAAAAATTCAGAAGATGAAAGATACAATAAAACCTTACAAACATGAACTCTTACACAATCAGCCTGTTTATTAACATTATAGTGTCAAGCTCAATTAAACTGAGTAAGTACTGTGAATTTTGAGTGATGTTTTGATTGGACCTCTGAACTGTGCCATAGTTCTGGCAGTAGTCACCAGGTTTTCAACATTCAGACCTGAGTTCAACCTGATAACAGTTCTTTTGGGATTTGTGGGGGACAAAGTGGCACTGTGGCAGGTTTTCCCCTAAATACTTTGATTTTTCACTGCCAGTCATCATTCCATACTCATCATTGGCACCAGTTCAAGGCTACAGTGCCAAGGGACTGAGTCTCACTCTTCTCCCGTCCCAGTATGTCTGATCCATCTCAGTTTTGAATTTCACTTTGCTACTTATGCATGGCAGGAGAACTGAAAAGCCATGCAGGCTATGGAAGGAAATACATATCAGATCCAAAGCTTAGTTTTTAGTAAAAGAGGAACCAAAATGCAAAAATCATTGCTTGATGTGGAGATGAAGTGTTCAAATGAAAACTAATATGCATGTTAGACATATTTGTTAAATGATATTTTAATCCATTGTGTGCTAAGAACAGACTTAACTTGTGGACACAGCGAAAGGCAGAGAGCTATATCACGAGTCTGATGTGACATTTTTGGGATTTTATCCTGTTGGGCATTTAAATAGGATTCCAAGGCCATGATGTAGGTCATTTAAGAAGGATAATAAAATCACATTCGAATATGGTAGGATGATCAAGGTGACTGTTGTTCTAATAGCTACAAATTACATTTATTCACTGAGGACAGTAATGATTTACACTCGGTATATATATATCAAATTCAGTTGGCAATATGTTGCTTTTCCTGTATTGAATATTATTAGTATTTATATTATAAATACTTACTTACTTTTTTTTAATTCGCTTAGTGGGGGATGGAGTCCAACTGGGTTCACTCAGCACAGCGGCCACTGATTGGCCTATTGTAGCCTGCCCCGGGTGATTATGATGATGGAGAATTTGGTGGAATGAAGATTGGCAGGGGAAACCGAAGTACTCTGAGAAAACCCACCCCAGCATCACTTTGTCCACCACAAATCCCGCTTGACCAGACCTGGGATGAAACCCGGGCCGCTGCGGTGGGAAGCTAGCAACTAACTGCTTGAGCTATGTACTTACTTACAGAGCTGAGCCTTTTTTGAGGAGAAGCAAAATCTGCAGCTACTCAAGAATTTCCCAGCATTTTATGGAACCCAAAGGTTCATTACCGTGTTCACTGGTCCCTATCCTGAGCCAGATCAATCCAATCCATACCATCCCATCCTATTTCTAAGATCCATTTTAATATTGTCCACCCACCCATGCGTTGGTCTTGCCAGTGGTCTCTTTCCTTCTAGGTTTCCCACCAATATCCTATATGAATTCATTTTCTCCCCCATTCGTGCTACATGCCCTGCCCACCTCATCCTCATTTATTTTATAAATAGTGATGCTTATAGTACATGCCAGAAACAAGGTACGCGGGTTCAAACCCGGCGGAGGTCGTGGAATTTTTAAGGGCGAAAAAATTCAGGGAACAAGTTCTCCGGGAGGGACTTTAAGCCGTGGGTCCCGTGTCAGATTTACGGCACGTAAAAGTACCTCATGTCTCTAGGAGGCCTCTGAGCCAAATTTGCCCAAAAATTTCCCGCCCAAAGTAGTTTCCAATGCCTCCGGTAGATGGGGGAAGTACTGGTACCACTGACAGAGGAGGGAGGACCTCTCTGACAGAAAGG